ATTTTTTCTCCGTGAGACTCCATAGCGATTGTGCAATATCGCTCGTAGAAGTGATGAAAATAGGAATCGTGCATCACAAAACCTCGATAAGTCGAAGGAATTCCCGCGAGGGAAAAGTATCAAGTTACCATCGAGGGCAAAATTAAAGTTTCCAAAGCTTCAACTATTGCAAGTGCTTGAAGTGACTCAGATTTATTTTTCATGGAAACTCCATACCTTTTTAGGGAAGGAACTTGTAAAGTCGCGTCCTTCTATCGAGGACCGGAGGTTCAAGAGGAAATGTTTGACGTGACAAAATATAAAAGTAATTAACCTGCTAATATATGCAGAGACTCGTGCGTATTTTTCTGCAGCNGGGGGGGGGGGGGCTCTCGAAGGGGTAGGGGGATGACACGCTGCTTGGGAAGCTGATCAAACACAGATAAACATGGCACCCGCTCACCATTAATGTGTTTAATGATGTTTCTCATCTCCCCTCTCAGGAGAATACCTCTTGCTTTGCACTTTAGCGTTTCCAGCCAATTTTGCTTGAAGACCTGGTCAGAACGATTCGCTGAATACATCAAAACCACCCCTTTGAGATTCGGGCTGAACTCCTGTCGAGTTCGGTTCCAATCTGTAATTTTTTTAATAAACCACGTGATGTGGATCAATGGAAAAAAAAAATCTTTGAGAGCCGCATAGAAGAGGCATCATTATGAAAAGCATCGTAGATTTGAACCCCTCATTTTAAAAACGACCCACCTCGGAAAAACGAAATTTTTCAAGAGACGGTATAAACTGCTCAACAGCTAGAGAAGATCTGATTTTACGCAAAAAATGAACATCTTAAAAGAAAAGAGACCCGAGTTGAGTCGTTTCCGGGCGTCGGTCGATACGCTGTTCGCAGCTCTGAAATCTCAAAGTTTAAAATGAGATGTTTTACAGACAATAAACGAAGCTGTCAGGAATCGAACGTGCGGTCTGTACTACAATGACGCGGACGAAGAAACCACCAGTGGCGTGGCGTGAATTGCGATTTATCGATCGTTATGCCATTTAAACCTATGGTAAAGAATCGAGTTTTAAGGCGTTCGCTGCGAACACCTTTTTAATCGATTTTTTTCATAGGTTTAAATGGCAGATCTATCGATCAATCGCAAAGCACGCCACGCCACTGGAAACCACCTGAACACTTCCACGCGTCCCGCGGTCCCCAAAAACGCGCGGGTGACAATGCGTATTTATTATTAACCCTTCGAAGACAGGGATCCGTGTCGCGCGAACAAAGCCGCGAAACTGAGGGGAAAAACTCGGAAAACTGGGCTCGGACCTATCTCGCCCCGGTCCCGCGGGGATAGGTGGATGCTTGTGTTTATTGCTTGGTTAACGTTTTGATAGGTTTACTGGTTTAGTCAGTCCCTCTATCAATATTGAATAGTATTCGTGCATACTAAATTACTTTTCCCTTATCTTGGTCGTCCCCATTTCCCTATTTTCCTCCAGAGGATTTTTTTTTCTCCTTTCTTTCTGTGTCTCACTGACAAATCCCACGTCCCCTATTTTCTGTCCGCTTTTTTTTGTATTCCATCAAAAAAGTTCAGGTCGATACCTCAAACTTCACAACCTTCTCAGCAGCTCTTCCGATGGGTATATCCACAAATGTTTCTCGTCAAATATACGAGTTGAGGGCTGGAAAAACGTCTGAGGTGAAATATAGATATCAAAAGAAAAAATGAATGAACACCAACCAATAGGATCACTCCATTGCCCTTTCGGGTCCTTTACCTATTGCTTTATCTATAAATTTCAATAATCAGCCTGCGGGCTGATAATCGTTATCGATAGACACAACGTTGAAGAAAGCTATACATAATGGAGCGATCCTTTTGGTTGAAACGGGTAAATGCTATAGATTAAGTGGGAAAATAATGAACTAACTATAGGGCCTCTCGTGGATTGCCGCCTGTGAGTCTATTACTTACCTCTCTTGTCAATTGCAATCTCCAGCCTCTACCAATTGAATCACTCCATTTTTCTTTCGCCTCCTTTTTCCATCGTTTTATCTATCAGTTTCAATAATCAGCCTGCGGGCCATTATTGAAATTGATTGACAAAGCTATAGACAAAGAAGTCGCCAGATTATTTATTGGTGGAAGCTAGTGGTTGTAATGGACACAGGCAGTAGGTAACAGACTAACTAACGGCAATCCACGAGAAACCCGACAGTTAGTCCATCATTTTCTCTCTTAGTCTATAAGAACCACACATTTCAACCAATAGGATCGCTTCATACCCCTTATGCTATGTCTATAACTTTGTGTATGAATTTCGAAAATCAGCCTGCAGAGCTGTAGAAGTTAGGGCGAGGAACTAGCCCGAGGCCGTAGGCGTTCAGGGGGCAGGCTCGAGTGTCACCGTCAAACAATAACAATCGTCGGTGCATGGACGGACCTGCCCCGACACACGACGGCGACACAGTCCCGTGTCGCGCTTGTTGCCTATTTAAGGAGCGACTCGGAGCGTTTGCGCCGGGAACGCCTTAATGATATCTTGGAGCTCGGCCTAATGATAGGTTGTGCAAAAAAAAAGCGCTCCGCTCGGATCTCTCACGTTGTAATTCGCGTCGTTGCCCGCCTTCGCCCGCCCTCTCGCTCGCCGCACAGTGGATCGAGTCAATTGGAGAGGTTGGACATGAAATTTTCGAATAAACCTGCAAATTTTGTCGTTAGTTTCGTCACTTTTTAAATTTCAAGGGGTGCTTTTTGAAGAAAATTTCAAAAGAAAAGCAATGGAACCAATTTTAGAATATCAAAGTCTGGTATTGACGGAGTTATAAGCTTTTAAAATTTCCAAATTTTGTCCGACCTCTCCCATTGACTCAATCCAGTGTGCGGCGTCCTCCCGGGTCCCGGGTCCTCATTGTCAGCGCCGATGTTGTCGTTGTTGTTCTGACGATTCCACTCCTAAGCAGATCACCCGCCCATGGCGACTTAGTGTCCATTGTCCCCGGTTAACTTGTCATTGAACTCCTCCAGTCTGGGGAAAAATAAGTCAAATTTCCTGCACACCACCAGACTAATTTATTATGCTCATTCAACCTGTTGAGCCTTGATCCTGTCATGGATCCTAACTGTCCTGACACACTGAAAATAGAGTCATCAAGTATTTTTTAGCCCATTCAAATGTTCCTAAACCGATATAATTATTTAGTCTTTGATTGTTTTTACAGGGCCCTCCTCTATATAAACACAACCTCCTTAATCTTAGCTATTCTTTTCTTTACAGTAAGTGATCCACACAATGTAATCATTATGCGCTGCGATGGAAAAAGCCTTTTGTATCCAGAGTGCAGACTCATAAGAATTTGACAAGAAAACATGCTCTTGATTCAATCGGATTTTTTCTTGAATAAAGAGTCAAGTCTCTTCAAGTAATGGGATTTCCTATTGATACAAGCGAAAATCCCATTAAACAGAGATTATTTTTTCGAGTCAAATTTTCTAAGAGCCTGGACTCAGATCTGAATATTTTTTTCCAGTGTAAAAATACAAGCATTAATAATTCAGAAATCTACCGCATGAAGAGAGAAACTAAGCATGTTTATTCAACCCTAATTGAGCTAAAATCATACAGATAATGCCGTTTGTATTGTCGCCATTAAGCGATCATACTAATAACCTGAAATCAGGACCATAGCCCAAACATTCAGTGTTTTCTGTGGAGATTTCAACGATAAGATTCAAGAGTCATTCACTTAGAAACGAAGGGGACGAAAATTGATTCCTATTTCAATCCGGGCGGGTTTATTTGCTCCACGAGTGTCATCGGACGTGGAATTGTGAGGGGGCGGGGGGCGGAGGGGGGTCGAGACGATGTGACAGAATTTTTGAAAGACGCCGCGACGCGTTGGCGCGTGCTGAAGGAGCTGAAGCGCCCCGAAACTGCGGCAAGTTGCGCGATTCAAGAGCGGCAATCGGATTCGGTTATTATTATGAGATGGCAGTTTGCATAATGAGATCTCTCTCCGGAGATACATTTGTTGAACTACCTTCTACATATGTACGAACGCGGCCGGAGCGTCGCTCGCATGCACGGGTTAACTGCGCCTTGCACTGATTTTTCGGGCATTGTTCCTGGGAGGCTCGTTCGAGTCGGTGTGTGGCAGGTTGCCGATGCCATGGCCGTGGGGCGTGGGCTGTGCATCGTCCTCCATACGAATTCTCTCGTTTATGCTTGGTACCGTTCTGATAATACGCCAAACGTCCTTGATTTTGGATCAGGGTTTTCTCTATATTTCTCTCTAGTCGGCATCATTGATGCAATTTGTTTTTGGAAAATTCAACCACTTTTTCTTCCCTTTCTTTATCACAAGAAAGATTTTAAGATTTTTCATAATATGTACGAATGCTCTTTATATCTCTCCTTGGTTATGTTTATATGATTTGTGGTTTATCTGCCAGTTGAAATTTATATAAGTTACAATATTTAAAAAATTGATGATATTACGTATGGATAAATACTGAACGTCAAAGGCTTATAATTTCGTTTCCTAGTCAAAAGAGCGTACCTAACTCCATTTAGTGTCTGCAAAATTGACTCTAACGTTTCAAGTTATCACGCTTACGATTGTGCGATTGCCGTTTTTTTTCCGATTGGATTTTGCTGATTTTTTCATAATATCAGAGGACAAATCAGTGAGACGTAAAGTTAGGTATGTAAAACTACAATATTTTCAAGTGAAAAGTGTACAACTTTGAAATGTAGCTACGTTCTTTCGTCCGGGAAACGAACATTTTCACGATAAATTTTCTTTGCTCAGTTTTCATTTATTAAGTTATAATCTTAGTTGTTTTATTTATTTTAATACAAATAAAAAGTGATCTGATGCCTGCACATTGCACAATGTAGACAGAATGAACTTAAAGACGCTTTTTGTTTCTTGTTTTGTGTGTTTTGTTTGTTGATATCCAATCGATGTGGCACGTATCTAATTGGCATGGTTCCATGTTCTGTTGCAGCACCCCTATCCATCGGAAGACCAGAAAAAACAATTAGCTCAAGATACAGGACTAACGATTCTGCAAGTTAATAATTGGTGAGTTAATTACTTCTAAATCTCTCACTTTCTCGTTCTTTCTTTCTCTATCTCTTTCTCTCTCGCGACGGGCGCGTCTATCCGTTCTTTCCGTCGGTTTTGGGCCAAAACCGACGGAACATTTATCAAGTCTCCGATAACGTAACGACCCGTCAACTGGCGTCGGATTTTCCCGGACGACCATTGCGTCAACGACTCATTAAAACTTCGCTAATTCGACGCCCTTCCCCTGGATTTCAGGAACGTTTCACATTTTTTCTGTCTCGTCGTGCGATTTTTCTTTTTTCTGAAAACGAGGGAGGGGTAAAAAAAATCTCGATCTATTCGTGGGGCTTTTATCCTATCTTTTTTTATTTAAAAGGCGGAGGGGGAAACTTAACTCAAAATACGGCACGGAATATGACAAAATTATCAATTTTATCGCGTTGTATATTCAACTTGTTTTCCCCGTATCTGCCCTTTGGAAAAAATAATCGTACATTACCCCCTAGAGAGGAAAATTTTAGGGCCTTTCTTTATGCTCCTTTTGCAAAGGTAAATCATTGATAAATGGACCGCGTTTATGAGCTATTGCCAAAAATTGGGCAATTGAATTTTTGACAAGAGAACGTTTGTACGGATTCCTTTGAAAATTTCAAGGAATTTGCTTCGAACTATCACTGAAATTTGTACAAAAATCCACAGAACCGTTTTCATGTAAAAAATTAAGTTGTTCCATTAAATTTTGAAAAAGCTGATGTGGCTCGGTTCCTTCTCGCTTAATGCGGGCCGAATGATCATTAACGTAACTAATTTCAAAACCTGGTACAATTTTTTAATTAAATAATGTAAAAAGAACATACAGCCTGAGAAAATGGCCGAAATGATTCAAAAACAAAAATCAACCTAAAATCTTTGCCAGTCTGACACTGAAACTTTAGTTTCAAACTTTCCTAGACGATGAAGCGTCACAGCGGAAAGAGAAACGCAGTGATTGATAGTTTCTGTTTCCAGAGACCGCAAAGAAAGCCCGACTTTCTGTTTATAACCTCTTTATTAATATTAATTTATTCGCGCGCCCGCATCGTAAAGAAAAGGGCAGCCGATTATGCCGGCCGAGCCCGGGCGGGAAACGGGAAAACGTCCGAATTTATGGATTCCCATTTCGGGTTTTTTGTTCCCTTTTTTTCTCGCGCTTTTGTTATTTGTCCTGGGCTCGGCGGCTTCGGAGGGTACAAGTTAAGGGGGTTGATTCTGCCATTAGAGTGTATTAGGTGTCAGGATTAAGGCCGGGAAGGAAGTACGAAAACGGGCGCCGAATGAATAATGTATCATCCGGAACCAGGAACCGAACCGGATCCAGCGCGGAATTCGCTCTCGAATTGATTCTTGATCCCTCCCCCCTCCCCCCCTTACGTCGAGAGTTGCAGACTCTTTGTCAGACTTACTTTGTTATTTGTCCATTGATTTCGGATGCCGCCGCCCTGTCATTGCCCTCCTTTCCTACGCAGCTTAGTTTCCCTCTTATTGCTTCATTTATCCCTTTTCCTTTTCCCAAGGCCTGGAATTTGTCGGCGCCGCAGGAACAGGCAGACCAGTGCTCCCATTGCGTGTTCTTCAAAAATTCCGGGATCCGGAACTTTTTTGTTCAAATTCCTCCTACTCCATGACCGTCAAAAGTTCGGGGATTCTTTCTAGATTTTTCAAAAGTTTCGAGGAAGTTCTGGAAAACGCAAAAGATCCGGAACATTTCGGGAATTTCAAAAGTTCCGGAAAATCTTAAAAGTTCCGGAATTCAGTACTAGTTCCGGGAAATTAGAGCATCGGGCTTCGGGCATGCGCGCCATTTCACACCAAATTTCAAGGGCCATACTTCAAGAATTTGGTCAAACGCTCTCAAGTTGGAAACCCCCTCCTCAAATGGTCAACTTTTAAGTGCGACAGGGGGTTCCCTTTTTCCAAGTGACACCCCTGAAACTTCTTCTTTTTTTTACCCAATTTTGGGTCAAGTTTGCCTTAACGTCATCTTACTTAGCTCTCGTGGCAGCGGGTTTATTATGTTTTACTAAGAATACAGGCGAAAAAGAATATCAATAAAAAGGTAAAAGAAGGAGAGGGGGACACCCCTTGAACTATGCACCTTATATAACAAGGTGGAGAAATGGTGCTGGGTCCACACCATTATGCACCTTATAGCTTGTGGCTAAGTAAGCTCATGTAAAATTTTATTTTTCTTTCGAGAACGAGCAGAAATTTTACTTATATGAGGTTCAACATGTAAATTCTCATCGTCCGACCACGTATTCAAGTGTACAACAACTAGGTAAAGTTTTTCTTGCGCACTTTACGAGTCTTTCCGAATCCTCTCCCTCAAATACTCAGGAAATTAAGCTCTTAATTCGATACCTCGATAGTTACGAAAAAAAAATCATAGCCAAGGGTAGAAACCCTAAGTAATTAAAAACCGAAATATATTGCTCGCGGCGGAAACACACAAATAAATCAAGAATCGGCGCGCGGCGGGGCGGGGAGAGGGTCAAAATTAAGTTTTCGTTTTCAAATGGAAACAAATCATTTTTCCGTCCAGAAATTTAATTCGAAAACAACGGAATGGATGGCGTGAACGAGAGGATAAGCGTGGAGAAAGAGCGAGATGAAAGCGCGGGGGGGAGGGGCGGGGAGACAGTGCCGAAGCGTGAATCATCAGCCATCGATATTTTTCCATATGAAACTACGATAAAGAATCGATTATCAAGCTAACACCGATATAATCGATACTTTTTCATGGGTTCAAACGGGAGATCAATCGATTTATCGCAGAGAGGAGACGCCACTGCGGGGAGAGCTTCCTATTGATTGAATCGCGCAATGATTAATCGTGTTAATTAGCTCAGTTTCTGATGGAAACCTGCTCCGAGGCGGCTTGAAACAATGGCTCTTGCCGCGGCGAGGGGGAGGGGTGGAGGTGGGGGAGGGATGGTGGTGGGGGGGTGGAGGTGGGGGAGGGGAGACCGCGTCGAGGGCGGCTCAAAATTTGTTTCCACCCTCGCCCCGACAAACATGGCTCAAGGCTCGGCAGCCAGCCTGGATCCGAATCGAATTTGCCTCGCTCGGTTCCCAGCACGGACCAGCTCCACGGCTCTGCCCAATTCGTAGCTTTTCTGGCGAAAGGGCTCAAATGCACCTCGAGATGGGCCTCGATGTGCATTTGACTCCGAGCCTCGCGAGGTTTTCTTGAAAATGCGCTTACGATTTTTTGCTGGGGAGCGACGAATTTTGGTTCTCCCGCAGCTGCATTTCAGGCACAGTCTGCAACCGTATGCTCAATTCCACACAAAGACAAAAACGACTGCTATTAGCGCTCTTTGTTCTTTCGTAGAGGTAGTATAGCATGTGGATGTAGCATGCACATGTAGACGGATGCAAGCGTCATAAATTTTGCCAATTTTTAAAGCGCGTTTTTGGAGATAACTTCGACATTCTTCCTTTGAGGGCAAATCCTCGATTTTTACAACTCATTCCTTTATTATTACTCTCTAATTTTGCATACTGTAAGTTTCTCTTTAAAAAAAATCGATCGTTGTTTCAAAATTGGGTTGACGCAGAATTGTTTTCTTCTTTACACGCTACGGCTATCAAGAATAAATTTGATTGAAATGACAACAACGAGTTACCAAGAAGAGATGTGTTTGTACACATTTTAAAAATCTGAATAAGTATACCCTTACCTCACTTACCCTGATGAAGTATATGAGGACTTATCAGTAACAATAGCGGATGGAAAAATTACCTTTTCGAAACACACTCAAAAAACTGTTTTGGCATCGAGAAAATTTTGAGAAAATACTTGAGATGTGATCTTCGAGATCTTTACATTATGCCAGAGTCAAACATATTCAATTTTTGTGCGAACAAAACAGTTTTTTAAGCGTGTTTCCGAAAGGTTAATTTTTCACATCCGCCATTGTTACATATAAGGCCTCATATGCAAATAATGACCATTGCCGATCCAAGCAACAAATTTTGCATCAGCCACTAGCACGGGACTCAAATCGCCACTCCTCTGACACGAGAACGTAACTCAATTGTATTATGAGCCTTATTCCTCGTATAACCCTATGCTCGCCGGGGCTCATGTTTAAGTATTCATAGATACGCCCTTGCGTCAGATACGCGACGAAATTTGGCGCCCCTCAAGGCGAGTAGGCGCCGGAGCGTGGAGCGTCGTCAACGGTGTGGATTGGGGCGGGCGTCCGCGCGCGCACGCGCAAGACGGCGCGCGCCGCGTCAGTAGTCGACACGACCATAAATTCGAGTGACTTTGGCTCCTGCCAGAATGTAAGTTCCAGTTGCCGGACCTGTCGGCATCCGGGGATCCGCTCCAGTGGCGAGGCGAGAACAATCGATTATCGATATTTCCCCATTAGAAACTATGCTAAAAGATCGATTATTGAGGAACACTCTGTTTGTCGACCCTTTTCCGAAGGTTTAAATGGCAGATTAATCGATATATCGCAAAGCACGCCGTGCCACTGCTGGGGCTCCGCTCGCGAAAACCCAGGGGCGCCTTGCCGTCCTGCTCCGGTGGGGATATGGCAAGGTCCGCCGATGGAAGGTGCATCGCGCTATGACGCAGTCTCGTCGCCAGGATGTGTGTACAACACAGTCCCCGGAGCTTGTACTACGCTCGTACATCGCTGGTACATTCGCGCAGCGCTACATCCGTACACAGTCTCCATTAATTTCGCCCGGTCTGTTGCCAGCTTCACCGGAATTTCTGGATCTTGCACGTTGGTCCCATCGCAAGTGCCATAAAAGCCAGCTTAGAGGCATTCAAACAATGATAAACTCTGCCTCCTTTCTTATACCAAGCACAACAGTATGCTTTTGCGTCCATCAATGGCTGAAAGGGTGGAAGTACCGTGTAATTTAGAAGAGATGATGTTGAAAGAGTATTAAAGTCTCAAAATCATCAGAGAACTTCTTGCCTTTTTAAAAGTTTTTCGTGTAAAAAAGAACGA